TTTAAATTAATAAGTGTTTGAGGAAAGATTAATATAAGTTTTGATGTTTTGTTAAGGAAACCTGCCATAAAGTCTATGATTTGTGTGAAACACTGTTAGTTTTGATATGTAATTTAGATTTAAAGTAACGAATTGTAAGGCTGATTATGATCTCTCGCAATAAAAAAAAAATTCCATTAAATTTTTGTAAATAATTACCATTCTCATATAATTTATGCTTTGTATCAAAGTGCCCCATCCAATGTATCTAAGTGCCCCGTAGGTGGGGCAGAATGATACAAAACCCATTTTTACTCAGGTCATTATATTCTCATTATCTTCTAACTTTAATGTTTCTTTTGATTGCTATTATAATATTGATTAGTTATGCCGTGCATAAAGCAAAAAAAATATTATTTGACTCATTTTTGTTACATAAAATATGAGATTGATTTTTTCTGCATCAATCTGCCCCACTACCCCCTATCATATCCGATATTAGTCCTACTCAGAGTAGACCCTTTGAAATCTATGAGCTTAAATTGGCCCTGCCTGTCGTTTACAGTTGGGTTTATTCTGAGTATAGCAGACGCTCAGGTTGCGAACATGATCGGTGCGGGAAGCACGTTCGCAACCCACAGTGTCCGCAACCCACAGTGCCGCATCTGCCAAGGCACTGGTCGCGATTCGGCGCTTCTGCGCATGAGCAAGCACCGAAACCCGGAAGTAACCCGTGCCGGTACTTCCGGGTTCAGCGCAGTGCGCAACCCAAAATTGCGCAACCTGAAGCGTTTGTAACCCAAGGAATGACTGTAATTCCTTTCTGGGTGTTCCTTTTAGAGATATTTTAGAAAAATACATGGAATTTGGGTGTGTATAGAGTATTCACTGTATCTCTGAAATTTTTTTTGCTTACTCTATGTCTTTGTAACTTGATTTGCTGTTTTGTAAACTGACCTGTACTACTTTATTTTCTTTCTTTCTTTTTTTTTGAAAGACAGGATATGACAGGGGAAGTCCCAAACTCCCCAAGGGTTTGAGACCTATTGGCTACCCTCACCTTGTTTAGCCAGCCAGACAAAGCCATTTCCTGGCGTGTGGCTGCTGTGACATGCTGACAGCTTCTGGAGCCACAGGTGAGAGCTGAGTGCAGGGTGGGGACCAAAGATGGAGAAACCGCCCCAGAAGGAGTATGACATATCCCACACCGCAGATACTGTCCATCCCCCAATACCCCATATGTGCAGCTAGCCCATGACCTTCTGAATGTTTAGTTCCCATTGCCCCAGCCAGATGGACCAATGACCTGATTCAGATGCAGCGCAGATATCTCAACTAAAGCATCCCTGACATCCCTCTGCTTAAAAACCTCCAAGGAAGGAGAGCTCACCACCTCTTGTGGGAGTCTGTTCCACTGCCAAACAGAAAGTTACTCCTGATGTTTGTCAGAACTTCCTTTCTTGTAACTTGAAGCTATTACTTTGAGTCCTTCCTTGCAGAGCAGGAGAAAACAAGCTTGCTCCATCCTCTGCGTGACAGCCCTTTGAAGATGGCTACCATATCTCTTCTCATTCTCCACTTTTCCAAGCTACACATACCCAGTTCCCTCAAGTTTTCCTCACAAGGCTTGGCAGCTTCTTCTGTCCCTAAAATAAAATACTCTGTCACTTCTGTAATTTCTCAGGTCTCAGCTTTCATGGCACGACGTGTGTCTTACTAATGAGCATTTTGAAAAACGAAGCAAGTTCTGAAGTCTCCTCCGTTTCCAATCTGCTATTTCCTTGATTCATCAATTCCAACAAGCTTCCGAAACTCCCACATGCCAAAGCTACCTCGGGGCCTCGCTGGCTTCAGCTAGGACACAGTTTTTCAGAGGCAGAGCAGAGGGAGAAGAAAAGCAGCTCATGAATCAAATGCAGATGGCAAGTCATCTGGTTTGCTGCTGAGTCAGCAAACACTCACAGCCAAAAAACAAACAAACAAATGACTGTGTGGTCTATCTATAGAACGTGTTAAAAGTGCAATACTGTGGTCACAGATGTAACATCTTGAAAGATTAATTGCTTATTAACGACTCTTGTGGTTGCATCCCAAATGCAAAGGTTGCAGTCTCTGGTGCCCAGTTCCATTCAATGCCTGAAAAAAATATCCCTCCCACACACATGCTACTGAAAATAGATAGGCAATATGATAGCCCTCCTATTCTCTCTTCTTTTCACCAAACTGGACTTGGAGCAGAGAGCCCTTATCAGTGGCTATGTTGTACCTCCAGAGGCAATGTGTCTCTGAATGCTACTTGCTGGGAGTCAAAGGTGAGAAGGGTGCTGTCACCCTCCTTGAGTCCTGATTTCAGGCTTCCCATAATGGGCATCTGGTTGGCCACTGTGAAGACAGGATATTGGACTTGATGGGTCTTGGCCTGATCTAGCAAGGCTCTCCTGTTCTTTGAATAAAGCACTGTAAATAGGACACATGGTTACCTCTAAGATAGAGAGAGGGAGGGAGAGAAAGAGAAATGCTTTGGCAAACCATAGCTTCTGGTAGAGTTGTGTGTGTGTGTGTGTGTGTGTGTGTGTGTGTGTGTGTGACAGAGAGAGAGAGAGAGAAATTGTTCAATTCTTTTCACAATAACCTTCAAATCAAATAATTACATTATTTCATAAGTTCCCACCTTCACCTCCACAGTGTTTTAACTCAAACATTTTCTACTGAATTATATCTTTATTACAATTATTTTGTCATTTTTCTTCTGCTGCTTTTATCTAGAATCCTGCTCGCGATTTCATTTGACAGTAATATTTTAAAAAATAGTCCATGAAAGGCTCCCCTTCTTCTATTAAAACGTTCGTCATTTTGATCTCTGAATTTCACTGTCAGCTTTGCCAGTTCTGCATAATCCATTACTTTCAAAACACACTCCTCCTTCATTGGAATATTCTAGCTGCTGTTGTCTCACACATAAATAATGTAGTTATCACCTTTGGAACCTCTGTCCCTATTATACCTATAAAGAAATCTTCTGGCCTTTTGGGAATTGCCAATTTAAACACTTCCTTCATTTCATTATATATCATTTCCCAAAGCCTTTAGCTTTTTTACATGTCTACCACATATGGGAGAATGACCCATCTCTCTGCTTACATTTCCAGCATTTAATTGACACACTTTTATACATCTCTCACCTTTCCCAATATTTGAACAAAGTAGTTGGAATTTTCTCCTGCAGTATATACCTCACCCTTTCTGTGAGGGTGTATTAATTTGCATGGCAAGTTCCCCACTCCCAGTGGAAATAAAGACACATGACACAATTATTAAGGTTAATGGGCTAAATAAGGCCACAACATTACTGGTTACAGGTGATGAGCGGTATTGGCTTAGGCATTGGTCCTAACCGACTATATCTGGCTTCAACCCGTCCACCTGAAGTCAACTAGGAACTCCCACATCAACTAGGAACTCCCCCGGGGTCACCGCTTGGGGGCATGCCTTAGGCCCTCACCTACATAGGCTTCAGTCAGGGCCACGCCCCCTGGAATCCTTTATTGGACTACCCTTTAATATGTGGGGCAGGTGATGGCACTTCCTCCCCTCTTCCATCTACAGAACAATACCAATACCAATGCCTAACCGCCAATACCAAGAATGTTGTGACAATTTGCCACGAGGTAGGTGAAAAACCAAATGGCTGGTGCCAATTTGCCAAGTGGAAAAATTCCTACCAGGTCCCTCAACGACGAGGTCCATAGCAAGGTCAAGGAATGAAAACCTTAAAGGGCAGAAGGATGGGAAACAGGAACAGCTGGTGGGCGGCAAAAGAGGGAGATCCCCAGCTGCGCCTGCCTTAATAGGGCAGGCCACGCCCCCAGAGCCAGCCGATTGGCTGGCCAGGGGGTGACGCGGCAGAGCTTTAATTACAACTTAATCAAGTTGATGGAAAGTCGGCTGCTTATGGGGCTGCATTTTGAGGCTTCCCAGCAGGGGAGTCAGCAATGGAGTCTGCCTGCATCTCGCCATTCAACCTGCCTGAAAATGGGGTCCTCTGACTCTATATGAAGCAAGAAGCAGCGATCCAATGCACTTGGATAATCTCCAGTCAACCCCCATACTATCAGGGTGTTAATGGGGGGGGGGGTTGCCTGCGCAACCCTCAGATCTCCCCCCGGGACTTTCCCGGAAAAGCTGCTTCACTTGTTCATAGCTGACCTGGAAGTGGTAGAGTCTAGTTGTAAGCACTTCCCATCTTAATAATTCTGAATGTTTACACCATTCACAAATACCATTTTTATACACTCCTAAACGCCAGAAGCGTAATTACTAATGTCAATATATAATGTTTATTTCCTTCATAATTGATATTTTAATTTTGGTTAGAAGGATATGGCAGGGAGGGGGGATCCCTATACGCATAAAAATAATGGCAGATTTGAAAGTAGCCAAGCTAATGGAAGCAGATTGCCCTTCTAATCCTAAATTTAAATGCTTTGCTGATCCCTGAAACATTAAAGGTCCGATAAGTTAAATTAGGTTCCTTGTAAGCATAATTAATCTTCTTTCTCAATGAAGATATTACAAGAGAGTTAATTTGAATCCCAAAGGCATTTCTAAAATTGAATTATAAGATAAAGCAAATATTTGACTTTTCACAGATAATTACTAAAGGAGAAATCAATATGCAAATGGGGATGGCATTAACCCATTTCTTACAAACAGGATTCCTGTATACAGAGTCTATGCCAGATAACATGTCAAGAACCTTTATTAGCTACCAACTGCTACTGAGGACGTCAGTGTTGGGCAGGGGATGGATTTCTCCTGGATGTTGCTTCAGCAAACAATTCCCCTTCACACAGAGAATTTTGTATTGCATATAAGATGGGCCAGAGGAGCAGCTCTGGGTCAATTACCAAGCTCCTCCTCAGGAATATAGGAATCTGGTCCACCCAGCTCAGTCTTGTCTACACTGACTGACTGGCAGCAGCTGCCCAGGGGTTCAGGCAGGGGACATTCCCAGCCCTACCCAGAGATGCTAGGGGTTGAACCAGGGACCTTCTGCATGCAAAGCAGATGTTCAGCTCCTGAGCTACAGCCTTCCTTTCTTCTCCCCCTGGCCACATATCTGATTCAGCAGCTGTAACTTGAATAGATCAGGCCAATGTGTAATCACCCTACTTAGGCTCCTTTAGGAAGAAGGATGTACATTTAAATAATAAAAAGAGACACTCCCCCATGTTTGGCCTTGCATGAATACATCCAGGGCACAGAAAATCATGCCCATCATTTCAGATGTTATAAATTATCTTGCTTCATTTGCTGGCCATTATATTTTAAGGTTGTTATTATTTTAAGCTGCTGTTGGTTCTTGTTGTTGTTTAGTCGTTTAGTCGTGTCTGACTCTTCGTGACCCCACGGACCAGAGCACGCCAGGCACTCCTGTCTTCCACTGCCTCCCGCAGTTTGGTCAAACTCATGTTGGTAGCTTCGAGAACACTGTCCCACCATCTCGTCCTCTGTCATCCCCTTGTCCTTGTGCGCTCCATCTTTCCCAACATCAGGGTCTTTTCCAGGGAGTCTTCTCTTCTCATGAGGTGGCCAAAGTATTGGAGCCTCAGCTTCATGATCTGTCCTTCCAGTGAGCATTCAGGGCTGATTTCCTTCAGAATGGATAGGTCTGATCTTCTTGCAGTCCATGGGACTCTCAAGAGTCTCCTCCAGCACCATAATTCAAAAGCATCAATTCTTCGGCGATCAGCCTTCTTTATGGTCCAGCTCTCACTTCCATACATCACTGCTGGGAAAACCATAGCTTTAACTATACAGGCCTTTGTTGGCAAGGTGATGTCTCTGCTTTTTAAGATGCTGTCTAGGTTTGTTCTCATGCTCTTCTTTAAATGACTTCTCTGCTGCCATGAGGCCATGTTAAAATGTATTCATTTTAAATTGCCCTGTGGTGGAGATGCTTGCTGCACATACCCATGGAATGGAGTCAAATGCTCTTCCTTTCTCTCTTTCTCTTATGGAATTGATTTGCAGAGCCATTCAGTTTGCCACAGGGGCTAGAGGTTTGCACTGGATGGGATTCAACTGCAAAGCACATCTGAAGTAGGCTATGCTGGTGTAAATCACTCTGGGAGCTTCTCTTTGGGCTATGTCACTCAGGGCCTTGGGGCACCTCTGTTTGGTCCTTGGGGCTCTCCTCAAACCATATTCCTCCCAAGCCACACCCTCTCCCCAGCCACCAGCATCAATGGCCTTGCTCAATACCCTCTTTCAGTGTCTTTGCCTGGTTGGAAGGTATCCTTGAACTCTGATCATGCCCCTTGCTTGCCCACAAGGAGAGGGTGTGCATGTGGAAAGTAACCTAAGGTGAAATGGACATTAGTTGCTCTGCCTACTGTTGTCTCCCACCGCTGGCCCTCAAAAGATTGTCCCGAAGGATGTGTGGCCCCTTGCGTTGAAATAGGTTCTCTGTCATTGCTGTATAATCAGCAGAGCTGTGAAGAAAGGTCTCTGTAAAACAGGACACAGGGGCCATGTTCCCACCAAGCATTTAAAGCACGATGATACCACTTTAAACAGCCATAGCTTCCCTCAAGTAATTCTGGGTGTTATAGCTTAACAAGGGTGCTGAGGGTGATCAGGAGACACCCTCATATAACCCCCTCAAAGAGCTTTCTGGGAAGAGGGATGGACTGTTAAACCACTCCAGAAATTGCAGCTCTGGGAGGGAGCAGGAGGGAACAACTCTCAGCACCCTTAACTACAGCTCCCAGAATTCTTAGGGAGAACCCAAGACTGTTCAAAGTGGCACCATAGAGTTTCAATTGCATGATGTGAATGCAGCCAGGGACACCCTATAGTCCAGCCTTTCTCAACCTGTAGGTCCCCAGATGTTGTTGGACTACAACTCCCATCATCCCTAGCTAGCAAGGCCAGAGCTCAAGGATGATGGGAGTTGTAGTCCAACAACATCTGGGGACCCACAGGTTGAGAAACGTTGCTATAGTCAGTCAATCAGCTGCTAAGTGAGATGTGAGGTTCTTCAGCAGACCATTATCCCCCTCCCCAGCTACTAAACACAAGTTCTGTGAAGCCACAGTTGTTGTCTCCATATCCAAACCCAACATTTTCTGCCCACCCCCACCCCCCACCCCCCGCTTCATGGACAATAAAAGAAAAGTGAAAAGGCATTTAAAACAGTCCGCTCCGACGTCCTTTTTTGCTTTTGTCATTATTACACTGGAGTTTTCTCTCCTTAGATTAGATTAGAATTGAATCTGGTTGGGAGAAATTGAATTTGTACAGTTCCCTAATCAAACCATCTTCAAACACTGAACTTTTCTAGTAGCAATTACCCTGCCCTCTTTTGAGAGATCCCTGTTGATGGCAGTCGCTGGAGACAAAAACCCACAACTGATAGGGACATGCCAATTCAAAAAGCGCAGAGACCCTTGTCATTGAAATGTGCAGAACACATTGCGTTTCCTGTTGCTAAGATATCTTCAGATTCGGATATTAGCTGAAAGACCCACCATTTTAAATTTTGGAGGAGTGTGTACAATGATGATTTAAGAGCCTAGGAAGCTGCCTTGTACCAAATATTGATCCATCTAGCTCAGCATTGTCTCCACTGTCTGGCAGCAGTTCTCAGCAGTTTGTGGTTTCAGGCAGGGAGTCTTATCCAGACCTAATGTGTGATTCCACATTTTGAACCCGAGACCTTCTGTGTTGAAAGCAGGTCCTGCACCACTGAGCTACTGCTAAAGGATGCCCAAGCCTCAGAGGCACTCTTGAGAAACATGCAACAAGGTCACCACACTCAGAATCCTGGATCTTAGGCAAGTCAATTGAAAAAGCATGTGTGTGGTTTTTTGGAGGGTGGGGTGTTGTAATAATAATAATTGTGGAAGGGACCACAGGAGTGATCTAGTCCAGCCCCTGCAATACCAACTTTACATGAAGCCACGGGAGAAGGAACATGTAGCCCTCCAGGTGTTCTCAGTCCCAGCTGAAATGGTCATTGGTCAGAGACTTTGTAAAAGCTTAGGTACAATTCTATCGTATACACTACCAGTACAAGCCTACAGAGGAGTAGCCTCCGTTGACTGTGGGGAGAGGCCATAGCTCAGCATCAGGGCACATGCTTTAGATGCAGAAGGTCCCAGGTTCAATCCCTGGTGTCTCCAGGTAGTGCTTGGAAAGACTCCTGGAGAGCAACTGCCAGTCATTGCAGACATGGAATGGGTGTCAAAAATGGACAAATGGTCTGACTTGGAATAATACAGCTTTCTAACTTGCACAGGGGTTGAAGGAATGGGTTTCCCAAATCTAAAATCTGACTGTGAAGTCAGTCTGAAACGGGCCCCAAAATCCCCATTTTTTCCTTCTCCATTAGCTAAAATGCATTAACTTGAGCACTTGAGCCAAGAACCCAGCTGTATAAACAAAGCTCTCTCCTTTATCAGTACATGACGCTTCATGAATGGCCTTGTCAGTTCCGAGTGGAGCAGGGATGGCACATCTGGGTCTTATCTTACATCCTGACCACAATGACGCACAGACCTTGTCAGCCCCCATGCCCGGGAACGGTGCCAGGAGTGCTCTTAGAGTTGGTGACCTTCTTACCCCAAGATAAGGAATACAGGAACAGGAACATCCTTTTATGGTCAAGAGTCCAGGAACAGGAACATCTGTTTATGGTCATGGATGTCAACTTACGTGTATAAGCTGACGTGGCTGGATTCCTGGGGAAGGGGGGAGAGGGTGCCTGGAGGATATATATACTGTATGCAATTTCTCTTGCTTTTGTGCTTGCTGTGAACCGATTCACGCAGTGCCTTCTGCTATCCGGAGAGCAGAATAAACTCTCTGAACCAAACCTCAGTGTCATTTGACTTACTTCCTCCCGTCCGGGAGCAACGCAGACCCCACCAATCGGCCTTAGTCTAATAAGGCTACAGGATGAAGACTGTAGCTCAGTGGTAGAGCACCTACTTTGTATACAGAAGGTCTCAGGTTTAATCTGCAGCTTCTCCAGGTACAACTGAGAGAAACTAGTTGGCCACTGCAAGAACAGGATGGTGGACTGTGTGGGCCTTTGGGACTCTTCTTATGGTCTTATTCCTCAACCTGCAAAATGTCTTGGGCTGGCCCTGTTACAGCATGAACCACCTTGGCCATGATACACCATGGAAAAGCAATGCATAAGTTAAACTAAGCTAAAACTAAATTGCATAAGTAGGCGTCTGATACTCTAATTGTGAATTCAGTGCATTCTGTTCTAGGGAGTGGGGTAGTTTTCCGAACTCCTTTTGTGTATCTACAAGGCCAAACAGCTTAAAATTAGTATCATTAATATTTTTATTAACTAGTTTCATCCATCATCCATGAACCTATTCTTGATCTTTTAATATAATAAATAACCAGAAGCTTATGGTAATAAATGTGACACCTTCCATAAATGAAAGACTAATTGCCGCTATCGCTCACTGAGATTTTATTTAACATGTATTTCTGAGGAGGTCCTCCTCAAAAAGACCATAATTATTTCTCCATTTGCACACCCTCCGCATTAAAAACTGGAAACTAGTCGCCTGCGGATAGGCCATGAGAACGTTTGATCAGGGCCAGCCCTAATATTAGGCGGAGTGAGGCAGCTTGGAAGGAAACACAGTGGTTTGGAAGGCAGAGCTTGATGCATGTCCACTGAGCTAGCCTACTGCCCTCACGTGTGGTGGTGGTGATGGAGCGGAGGCTGTAAGTTTCAGCTGGCCACTTCGAATGGTGAGGCGCAGCTCTTCATCTATCACCTCAAGTAGCAGGAATATATTGGGCTAGTTCTGCAGCTTATAGCCTTGTATGGAAAATCCTTTGCAAAGTTTTGCAGTAGGAACAGGGAGCCTAAGGCTCAAGCATCTGAAGTGGTTTTCTAGGACTTTCCGTCTGGCCCCAGACCACACCCTTTAAGGCAGTCAAACGTGGTCTGGCTGAGGGCAGATGGATAGTGATGGGGCAGCACCCCATTTGCCCAGAGGATGAAGCCTTTCACTGTCTGATTGGCCTATTGAAAACATGATTGTATTATCAACCTCCATTCAATACAGAACTAATCACTCTGAAGTCTGTGTTGAATAGTGATGGAAGCCTCTTTTTATTTTTGGTCTCCCTGTCATCCCTAATTCCCACCTGTGCATGATGTGGATTTTGATTTTTTGGAAATCCCAGATGCTTAGCAGATGGTTAGCTTGGGCGGCGGTGGGGGGGGGGGACCAAAGGCAGCAAAATATATTAAAAAAAACCTGTGTTCACAAGCGCCCCTATTCAGTCCAATCTGCTGTTTTGCCTCACAACTAGACTAATAAGCAATTACGCCAACATCTCAAATGCTTATCTGGTGTAAATGCATCTGTCAGCCAGATTCAACATCATCAATAAAGCTGCCAAATCTCTTTATAATTCAATGATATATGCTCTAAACATCTTTCTTTCTTTCCTCCCTTCTCTCTCCCTCTCCCTCTCTCTCTTTCTCTCTTGGAATATAATTTAAAGATTGCTGTTCTATGAATCTGGCATTGTTGTGTTTGCATTTAGAATGCCTCCAGATGGAATCTGAGCCACAAACACCCAAATTAGAGAGGCTCTTGGCTGCCCTCCTGAAACTTAGTTCCCTGTGGCCATATACAGAACTGCTGCTAAGTTCCATCAGTCCTATCAGATTCACACATATGACTGTGTGACTAGCTATATATATATATATATATATATCCTGCCTCCTCTTTCTGGTTCATTTTAAAATGGCGTTTAGAGTTTTGGGTACAGTCTTCACTGGGGGAAAAGGTTCCCTAGATTAGTTTTCTCTTGCTACCACCTGTGGGTGTCTAATGCAAGTTGACATCAAGGTCACTAGGACTGTGAGGATTATTAAATGAGTTAATACAAGGTCAACCAGCATGCAGCCCCTCTAGTACTGGCGAAATTGTTCCCTAGGACCTTATTGCCAGAAGGAAGATCAACCCTTCTGTGTCCAGGCCTTTTTGTATAAAAACAGCCTCTGTCTTTGGTTTAGTTAGTGTACCTCACTTGAATGGGGGTTATGAACTGCCAGTCCTATGTAAGCCTGTATGCAGCACCAGTGGGGGCCATTACTGTAATAGCTGGTATTAGGGTGGGGCAAGCTAGCTTTCTTACTTTCTATTACATCCATTATAAAATAAAATTACATATTAAAATAACATCTCAGAGCCCCTGTCTATAACCTCTGAGAATTCTGAAAACAGTTGAGGTCCTTGCAGACTGAAAGCAGGCAAATCTTGTCCCCGTCTTCAAAGGGGGGTGGGGAGAATACCCAGGTAACTACTGACCACTGAGCTTGTCAGCAATACCAGAACAGATAATTCAACAGTCGGTCTGTGAGCATTTAGAAAAAGATGTGGTGATTACTAATACCCAGCATGGGTTTCTCAAAAATAAGTCATAAGAGATGAACCTTCATTTCTTCATTTCTTTAAGTAAGAATTGTGAGCGTGGTGGATCAGCAGAATACTGTGGATGTAGTGTATCTTGTTTTCAGTAAGGCTTTTGACAAAGTCCCCCATGATGAGGAGAAGTTGGTAAAATATAGGCTGGACAAGATTGCTGTTGGGTGGATTTGCAGTTGGCTGACAGACCAAACCTAAGGAGTGCTCACTAATGGTTCCTCAGCATCCTAGGGATGTGGGTAGTGCTGTGGTCTAAACCACCAAGCCTCTTGGGCTTGCCAATCAGAAGGTCAGCAGTTCAAATCCCCACGACAGGGTGAGCTCCCATTTTTCTGTCCCAGCTCCTGCCATCCTAGGAGTATAAATAGGTACTGCTGCAGCAGGAAGGTAAACCGTGTTTCTGTGCACTCTGCCTTCCGTCGCGGTGTTTCATTCCACCAGAAGTGTGGTCATGCTGACCACATGACCCAGAAAGCTGTCTGCGGACAAACACTGGCTCCCTCGGCCTGAAAGCGAGATGAGCACAGCAACCTCAGAGTCCCCTTTGACCAGACTTAGTCATCCAGGGGTCCTTTACCTTTACCTTGACTTCATCATCCTGAAAAAAAAGACACGTTAAGTAGGATGCTGCATAGACTAAGGTGAACCTTCAAGTAAACTAGTTCAAACTGTTAGGAGCTTTCTATACCATCAGACACACCTTGAATTTGGTTCAGGCAAACTGGTACCTAAAATGTGAAAAGGGAGAGGCGGTTCTGCTCCTCCATGCCCCGTCTCGACCAATTTCAGACTGGTCTTTCAAAAGTTCAGTCCAGCCATATTTCATATCAAGAAGTTGTGGAATAGTTAACATAAGAACAACCTGCTAGTTCAGCATCCTTTTTTCATAGTGGCCAACCAGATGCCGGTGGGGGGCAGGGGGGAGCAAGCTGGACCTGAGCACAAGAACAACTCTCCCCTCCTGTGGTTTCCAGAAAATGGTGTTCGTAAGCATTGCTGCCTCCAACTGCAGAGGTAGAGCATAGCCATTAGGACTAGTAGAAGAAGAAGAAGAGTTTGGATTTGATATCCCGCTTTCTCACTACCCTAAGGAGTCTCAAAGCGGCTAACCATCTCCTTTCCCCTCCTCTCCCACAACAAACACTCTGTGAGGTGAGTGGGGCTGAGAGACTTCACAGAAGTGTGACTAGTCCAAGGTCACCCAGCAGCTGCAGGTGGAGGAGCGGGGAAGCGAACCCGGTTCACCAGATTACGAGTCCACTGCTCTTAACCACTACACCACACTAGTAGCCATTGACAGCTCTCTCCTCCATGAATTTGCCTAAGTGGCATAGCTAGGGTGGGGCAGGAGGGGTGGGTTGCCCCAGACGGTACTTTGTTTTGAGGTGGCACTGGGCTCTGAGCAAACGCCTCCTCTCTTGTGAAGGAGAAGCCGCTGAGCAGGGCCCTGCAAAGTCCGGGAGGACTAGGAGGAAGCCGAAAGGTGAGGCATTCTTCAGAAGGGGGTGTGGCTGCCTTGCAAGCCAGGTGAGGGAAAGAGGGCAGCTGAGAACGGATTGCAGAGGATCTCTCTATGTTCCGCTATGTATTATTTCTCTCTCCTCACTTGCCCTCAAGGAGCTCAAGGTGTCATGCAAGGTTTGACCCCCACCCCCTTCTATTTTTTTCTGTGACACTTGGTATGATAAAGCGCAGAGAGGCTGTTTTGTTTAAAGGGGAGAGTTTTGTTCCATATATGAGATTTCTTTTTTTAAAAAAAAAATATTAACAATTTCAACATAACAAATTATCAAAACAAATCATCTTCATTATTTTCCCCCTTTCCCCCTCCCCCCTCCCCAAAGATCCTTCCCTCCCTCTTCCCCCCCCCAGACTGCCCTCAGCTCCTCTCTCTGATTTCTCAACTCATGTCATTCTCTGCATACTGTAAAATTGTATATATCCTTTTATTATCTGTCTACTATATTAACCCTCAATAAATTTGTGTATGTTTATTCAAAACCTGCCAAGGAGTCCAGTTCATTTTGTTGTCTTTTTAAATAATTTGTAAAAAGTTCCCATTCTTCTTTAAAGTCACAGTTGTCCTTATCTCACAATTTGTATGTCAGTTTCGCCAATTCTGCATAGTTCAGCAATTTCTCTTGCCACTGTTCTTTCGTCGGGGTTTCCTCATTCTTCCATCCTTGTGCTATCAAGACTCTTGCCACTGTTGTAGCATAACATAAATAAGTTCTTTATTTTCCTTGGAAGGTCTTGTCCTAGAATCCCTAACAAAAATGCTTCTGGTCTTTTTTACAAATGTCATTTTAAACATTTTCTTCAATTCATTATATATCATTTCCCAGAATTTTTTAAATTTCTCTGCATTCTCACCACATATGGTAAAAGGTCCCCCAATATATGATATTTCTAAGTGGAAAAGATAAGATGTAGAGGAGATGTGGTGGCAGGATAAGAGACCTGGGGAGAAGGCATGCTAGTTCCCCTTATTTGTCCTCCTCCCCTCCCGTGTCACCTGTTGATCCTTAAAGGTAGAAGGAAGACCATTCCACCACCACAGGTGCCCAGGAGTTAACTATGAGTGAGGGGAGGGCTCCCCAGCCTTGAAACATGGCCACTGGTGTCTTCCCTGGATCATGGCTGGAAAGAAGGACTGTGAGAGGGGACTGGAGGGTGTGGGTGGGTGTTCATCTGACCCCCCATCTCCTTGCACCTTGGGTCAATGTCACCCCGCTCCCCAGTTTTACTGATTGTCATTGGGGGGTGTTGTTCCTATTGTGCAAGACAACATGCTTATTCAGAAGTCTTCTTCTTCCTCTTCTTTAGCGATCACTCGTAGCCGAGTAAGATTGTCTTCCTTAAACATGGTTTTAACAATGAGTCTGTAAGTGATTGTGGAGGCCAATTCTGGACCCACACGTCCTTCCACAGTGGGGAGATTGGTTTCCAGGCGGGAGTTGATCACAGTGTGTATTTGCCAAGTGTGCCTTCCACTTAGCATGTTTCTCCCTTGCGTTCTGTGTTCGAGTGTCTTCAAAGCCCATGACACCTTTGGCAAAGGCTGTTCTCCAATTGGAGCGCTCACAGGCCAGTGTTTCCCAGTTCTCGGTGGCACAGCAGACGTTGCATACTTCATAATATAGATCACAGCAGCACATTCCTGCAATGGATGCTCCTGACTTGGGCAGCAGTCCTAGGCACATTTACCAGGGCATAAGCCCCAGGGCATTTAATTATGTGTTAACGTATCTAAGAATGCACTGCAAGTCCTGTTGAAAGCAATGCTAGAGGATGAAGGCTGTGATCCTGTGGAGCAGAGGTGGGGAACTCTTCAGGTGTTGTTGGCCAGGGCTGGTGGGAATCTGAGTGCAGCAGCATCTGCTTCCAAACCCCAGCTGTAAACAACTAAATCCCACTGAACACTGAGAGATTTCCTCCTGAGGAAGCCAACATAGGCTCAAGCTGTTTATCATGGATAACTTAAACCCTACAGATTTCCCAATAGGATTTACAGTATGATCATTTTCATTAAAGGATAGCTCAGTCAGTAGAGCTTGAGACTCTTAATCTCAGGGTTGTGGGTTCGATCCCCATGTTGGGTGAAAGAGTCTTTCATTGCAGGGGGTTGGGCTAGATGACCCTCATGGTCCCTTCCAACTCTACATTTCTATGATTCTATATTTATTCAGAAGCAAGCCCCACCAGGTCACTTGGAATAACTCCCAAGTAAGTGTAAATGGGATTGGATTATGTGCTTATCTCTTCTGGAAAGAAGCAGCCTTTATTATATATTATTATTATGCCTGTATCTCACCTTACCTTCCAGGAGCTCAGGATGCCATGCATTGTTCTCTTCCCATTTTATCCCCACAACATCCCTGTGAGGTAGCTTAGGCTGAAAACTGAGGCCCAAGATCATCCAGTGAGCTTCATGGCTGGGTGGAGATTAGAAGCTTGGTCTAAGAGAGTTTTTTGGATTTGCTATCCCGCCTTTCACTCCCCTTCAGGAGTCTGAAAGCGGCTAACATTCTCCTTTCCCTTCCTCCCCCACAACAAACACTCTGTGAGGTGAGTGGGGCTGAGAGAGCGTGACTGGCCCAAGGTCACCCAGCAGCTGCATGTGGAGGAGCGGAGACGCGAACCCGGTTCCCCAGATTACGTGATTACCGCTCTTAACCACTACACCACACTGGCTCTAATATCTAAGGTAGATATTAGAACCTCCCAGGTCCTAGCCCAACCCTCGAACCACTACACCATACTGTGTTAAAAATGGTTTACAGTGGTACCTCCGGTTATGAACTTAATTCATTCCAGAGGTCTGTTCTTCACCTGAAACCATTCTTCACCTGAGGTACCACTTTAGCTAATGGGGCCTCCTGCTGTTGCCATGCTGCTGGCGTGCGATTTCTGTTCTCATCCTGGGGCAAAGTTCTTAACCCGAGGTACTACTTCTGGGTTAGCAGAGTCCGTAACACAAGGAGTTTGTAACCCGAGGTACCACTGTACTTACAAACTCTTCAAAGGTCTGGTTCTTGTGCTTTCCCATTCATCAGTTTGAAAAGTTGCACAGGCAGTAAAGCTTAGTTTAGTTACAAAATGGTAAAAGTTCCAAGATTATTGATGCAGTGACTCAAGAGTGGCTGGTGAGAGCTATGTGGTTGAGTTGGAGCAACCAACTCAGGTCTCTTCTCATGTCATGCTGAACTTCCCAGGTAGAATGTGGCCGGGTGGGGACAATAGGCTTGATTACCTATTTCCTCCAAAGATAAGAGAAGTGACATGGCTGAGCCTGGCAGAACAGCTTACTCTGTGGTATTAATCATGCATTAATCAGATTTAAGCATATTGGCTATACCACAGCAAGCCTCTTATTAATGATAACGGAAGCTGTTGCTCTGGGAGGCCCCCCCCTTTTTTTTTAGCCAAAGAGCAGGGTAAAAATGCTTTGAAGAGAAATAAAGAAGAAACTGAACAAGAAGGAAGAAGGATCTTAAACTGGCCACACCCCATCCACCCAAATGGCCCAGCCCCAACTGCTGGAAACTATAGTTAACCACTCACATAGCTACAATTCCCAGCACCCTTAACAAATCACCGTTGTTGTTGTTGTTTAAGAATAAGTCATGTGCTTTAAATGTGTGGTGTGGATGTGACCATAGTCTAGTAATACTGCAGGACTGCAGGTTCCCATCTCCTCCTCTACAGTATTTTCTCCCTATTGTTTTCCATATGACCTAGAAGGGGAACAAACAGTGAATGAACTGGGGACCACTGCTTGTTTATGGAGAACTGGTTTCCATTCACACGGTGAAAAGTGGGGGAGGGTCTGAGGTCTCAGGAATCAAGTTCCTTTCTGCCCTTGGGAAGAAAGGGAAGGACAGTTGGAGCGGAAAGGAGGGCTGTGGCAAGCCAGGGAGGTCCCTGGATGAGGAACAGTAAGAGGGGCGGCAAACTCAGTGACTGCCCCGGGCAACAAACCCTAGCTATGCCACTGTACCTAATCCTCATTTAAAGCCATCCAATTTGATGGCCATCCCTGCTTCCCAGGGGAGCGAGTTCCTTAGTTTGCACTGAGTGAATAAGTCTTTTCTTGTATCTGTTCTGAATCTTCCAAAATTCAGGTTCTTTGGAAGTCCACCAGTTCCAGTGTTAAGAGAAAGGGAGAAAACCTTATATTTTACACAAAGTACTTTTGGAGAATTGCTGTAATGTGCCCTCCAAGAACATGGGTCATTTTTATGGTATTAATTTCCCCCATAGGCTAACCACAGGTACCACCAAACAAGATGGCGTCTCATCTCTCCCCCTCTTCCTCTCCCTTCCCCCCCAAATAACTTTCTCAGAAGATCTTTCCAGCGCTCTAAGTCTGCCATTATTTGATTAATAATATGGATCAAGATTTAATTTAACCAGTTTCATAAAATTGCTAGGTATTTTATTGCTTAATCTCTTCAGGTAGCAATTTTGAATATTTCAGCAGGGTTGTGTTTACTAGAGGAATGCGTTTTCAGGCCCTCAGATTCACACAGAGAGACCCATAATTGTACAATTTCCCTGAACAACTTTGGTCCAGGATCCTTTAAGGACCACCTGAAGTCGATTATGGAGCTTGATCCCAGCTTGATCAAGGAGGTCATCTGGAGGAGCGCTGCTCATTATTCCCCATGTCCGAGGCCTCAACCAGGAACTGGGTTTTTAGTAGGGCTGTGCAAAGCCCACCGCCATCCACACAATGGTCCTGATCCAGGGGCTTCCAATCAGGTCGGCCAACAAAGGGCCTGCCAGCCCCATCCTGGATCTGAGCCCATACGAACTCAGGAGCTGGTGCTAATGTGGTAGGGGGCGGCACTTACCTTGGGGGCAGCATGGTGCCCCAAAGCAGTGTAGCCTGGGGCTGGGCTTGCAGCGCACTGAGCCGCTGATCCGCCCCCAGCCACCAGAGGGCAGCTGAGAAGGACACAACTGGCACGCTCTGGCCCTCAAGGCTCATGGGGCCTGCAGCATGCTCGAGCCATGGTGTCTGCTCCACGTTGCCAAAAAAGCAGCGTCCACCTTCCGCCTCCCCTTCAGCCGCCCTGCAGGAACAGAGCAGCTTGGACCCCAGGCCTATGCTGCTTTTGCAGGGAGCGTGGGGCCAGCACACACACAAGTAGAGGGCTCCGAGCGGGACGCGGTTCTGGCAGCGCATCCTGCCCTGACTCACCCCACCCCCATGGGCAGCGCATGTTCAGGGCATGCACACCTTCCCCAGGCACCCTAACAGTTTGCTACGCTACTGGCCTAATGTTTAATTAGGATTTTTTTTTATTAACCCTCTAATTAAGTATATTTCCAGGAGAGAGGAGGAAATGTTGTGTCTTCTTTCCCATCCCAACCCGCACACATGATTGAGAGTATGTGTCATTTTTGCAGGGTGATGCTTCCTTTTCTCAAGGACCCAGAGCACCTTCTTGAACACCACAATGAGGGACAGAGCTCCCCTGCAATCCCGCCAGGGTATCTCATAGCCTCCAGCTGGGGTTTTGCCTGCTTTAAGGGAATGGCTCATCTCCAAATGCATTCAGCAGCAGTTGCTGCCTTTAGAAGTTATTATGTTGAATGTGGAAAGAAAGTGAGTGATTAGTATTTTGTGTCTATCATGGTCAGATGAATCCATCAATTCTGATTTCCCTCAGGTTCTCCTTTTTTTCATTCTCAAGTTTGGTCTCTCACATTTCCACATCAGTTTGGTTTTTTAAAAAAAAATCCTGCGGAAAATTCACAGCAGTTCAGCACATATTTTTATATGCAGTTTTCTTTAATAGACAAAAAGGCAAAATTGCAAGCAATTTTCTGTAATTTAATGAATTTTTCCTGTCATCTTCACTAATGCATTCATTTTTATTTACGCTTTCCCATAACAGGTACATTTTGTACACATATTTTTGGCCAGAGCCCTGCACCACATAATTTGGAGAAATGTAAATTTTGAAGCCTAGACTGAAGCTTAGTCTGTGTGTTGTTTCGGCAGGTGCAAATTAGGTAGTTTGGCAATAAAATGCAAACCAAGCTGAATTCCTTCCCCATCCCTTGTGTTTTATGCAATCACGGAAAGAGGCACAAACTTGGTCTGATCTGAAAACAGCTCAACATGAACCTCACCATCATCTATGAAACTCAGTTGGCAGAGCCTGAGATGCTCAATCTCAGGATTGTAGGTTCAAGCCCCACATTGGGCAAAAGATTTCTGCCTTGCAGGGGGTTGGACTAGATGACCCTCGTGGTCCCTTCCATGATTCTGTGATTCAGATGGGAACATAAGCCTATCCATCTAGTACAGTCACACCTCGGGTTACAGATGCTTCAGGTTGCGCTTTTTCGGGTTGCGGATCGCCAAAACCCGGAAGTACCGGAATGGGTTACTTTCCGGGTTTCGGCGGTTGCGCATGGGCAGAAGTGCTAAATTGCACTTTGTGCATGCGCAGAAGCGCAGAATCGCAACCCGTGCATGCGCAGACACGGGTTGCAAACGCTGCAGGTTGCGATCGTGCATCCCACACGGATCACGTTCTTAACCCAAGCGTCCACTGTCCTGCCTACCCTGATTGGCAGCAACTCTTTAGGGTTTCAGCCAGAGTTCTCTCTCAGCCCTTCCTGGGGATGTCGGGGGTTCAACCTGGGGCCTTCTGCTTGCAAAGCAGATGCTCTCCCAGTGAGCTACAATCCTTTCCCTAATGTTAGGCTAAGATTCCAGTCCTCATCATGGTTCTGAATAAAGCATTGGTTTTAATTAGGAACATAGATGACTGTCTTATACAGAGTCAGGTCATTGGTCCATCGAGCTCAGTATTGTCTACACACACTGGTAGCAGCTCTTCCGGGTTTCAGGCATGGATCTCTCCCAGCCCTATGTGGAGAGCCCTTTGCCAGCCAGAGTAGGCATTACTGGTTTAGACTAGATGGGCCATTTTGCCCAATGGTTCAGGAAGTGGTTTCCCTAATAGACTCGAGCATCTGTTTCTCTGGAAATTATGCTCTGCATTGTAAGCAGAGATGGCGAAGAGGTGAGACGTGTGCATGAAGGAGTATGCTTTTCTCACTAACGCACTTCCCGTATGACTTAGTCCTAGCACACGGTTGCTTTTCTCTGGCTCACTGCTTCCCGCCGTTAACATGGCTTGATTGTATAAACTCAGTGCAGTCTGGTTCCATGGCGTCTCCTAGCACAGCCGGCATAAAGAATAAGCTGGTTTTCAAGAGCCATAGCAGAAAACGGATGAAATACAAAAATCCCAGTGATGCAGAGGCCTCTAGCAAGCCCAGCACAGCATGCTGGCGCCACCTAGTGGCAGAGTGGAGGAAACACTGGGTGTGGGACCAAGGGAAGTCGTGCAACCTTCTGCAAAAAGACTCGATCAAAACCCTCCCTGAGTGCGTTTGCACCCCTTTGCTATCCCATGCAAAAACATGGCCTATGGGAGCAGGAATTGTCAATACACAGCCCTCAGCTAGTCTTTTGCTTGCCTATAGCTTGTGTCTAAAAAACAAGCTGTTTGTTTGATTTTGCTTCAGAGTTAGAGATGATATCTCAGGCCATAGAGGAAGTGAGAGGCCAGTTTCTAAGTGAGAGGCCCAGCAACTAAGCTGTGACAAGCGGCTTCATGCTGCCTATCGGAGCTTGCGTGCAAGCAGGAGGGGGTAGGGATCTCTCAGTTAGGCAACAGGAAGCCTCCCTTCCCAGCTGAGGGATCCCCGCCCCCTCCAGCTTGCACGCAAGTTGGAATGGGATTGGGGCTGTTCCAATGGGACGGGAGGTATCGCGCTACCCGAGCCTCGCCGCTGCTCTCTCCCCTCCTTCTCCGCCTTCCATGCCTGACCCACCGCACACCGCTTCCCCACCACCACCACCACCGAAGAACCAACAACTCAGGGGCTGCCCAGGCTCATGGAGAGAGGAGATAGAAGCCTCGGAGGAAGAGGAAACATGGTGGTTGAGTCAAGATGGTGGCCGCCCCTCTGCCACCACCATCACTGCAGCATCAACATCTCGAACGTGTAGTATTCATTCATTCATTCATTCATTCATTCATTCATTCAAAGTGTCCCCGAATTCATTGAAAAGAATCTGGTAACCTTATCTTAAGAACCTTTGTCTCATGACATGTTTATCATGGTGGGGGGAGCAGACTGAGAGGAGATAGGATTCTGACTAAACATCAGGAGTAACTTTCTGACAGTAAGAGCTGTTTGGCAGGGGAACATACTCCCACAAGGGGTGGTGAACTCTCCTTCCTTGGGGGGTTTTAAGCAGAGGTTGGATGGCCATCAGACATATATGATCTACTTGAGATTCCTTACAAGGGTTTGAACTAGATGACCATCAGGATCCCTCCAACTCTACAATTCTAAGCCATGCCAACCCCCCCCCCCCCCAATCTATGACTGGGAGTGGTGATAAGATACTGTGGTCATAGTAAGGTAACCTCAGGTTGTCTTTAGTCAATGGCAATTTCAATGTAACCCTCAAAAACAAACAAGACCAAGAGTAAGTTAAAGATGTAAGTGTGTAGAAATGCAAGATGACAAAACATCAACATGTTAATTTTCCCAAATCATTGAATTTTTAAAAATCCTCTTGGCAGTTGACATCATTTTAACTCAAAGAAGTAGCTTGTCACTTTCTCACTGCCAAGGCATATAAAGCTACCATTTAGCTAACAAATGTGTCTGTATCAGCCACCAGCCATCTAATTTTGAGAGCATCTGATTGACCTTGAAGATAATTCAGAAATTAATAGAGGACTCTATCCCTAGGTGAGCAATTCAGGATTAAGTGCATTATGTCTTTGATCTGGCCTGATCCACATATGCCAAGAAGGTAATTCATTGGCTTATCAAATAATTTGCAGGTCAAATATTCTGTAGGTATAATCTGACATCTAAACTGAGCAAACACAAGTTCAACTGGAGCAGAGGGCGGGAGTTAATTGCTGCTGCTAACAAACCATTCAAGGGTCAGGTTTAATTTTAACATGCCCTTGAGGATATAGGGAGTAAGGAGAAAAATTAAACATATGGAGTAATTTGAATATGCAGTTGTAATGGATAAATAAATGGAACCATGGAAGGGAGGGAAGGGAAGTTGATGATTATGGATATATTGAAATGTGAAAAACTGCAATGGAAAAGTTATAAATAAAGTATTTTTAAAAAATGTTAACATGCCCAGCTGAGGACTTGGATTTCTTCATATATTCAAAGTCCATTCTGGCATATTCAGGAAAAATGATACCATGGATCCTATAGTCAGAAACATCCTGAAATGAAATTACAGGGGGAATTGAACAACACAACCTCAAACAAGTTACAGTGTTATGGCCAGCTGCCTTAGTTCTTCAGTTCTTAAAGAAGAAAGAAAACCTCCCACCAGTTTTGCTAAATGGTGGCCTGACTTTAGGGTAAGGTCCCCCGGTCCCCATATAGAACTGCGGATTTATGAATGTGTGCATTTAAAGAAGGGATGCCTACATCAGTTCTAAAATATTGCATTAGGTGTTCTCAGTGGAGCTGCAAGTAATATGCACTGGAACATATTTTGGATTATATAAAATCTGTTTCTACTAGAATAACCCCAAGTTGCTTCATCAAAAAACATCACTTGGGAAGACAGGCGAACTAATACCAGTGTACTGGAAGAAGCAAAGATCACCAGTGTTGAAGCAACAATTCTTCAACATCAACTTTGTTGGACTGGACATGTTGTGCGGATGCCTGATTATCATCTTCCAAAGCAACTACAGTGGTACCTCGGGTTACATACGCTTCAGGTTACATACGCTTCAGGTTACAGACTCCGCTAACCCAGAAATATTACCTCGGGTTAAGAACTTTGCTTCAGGATAAGAACAGAAATCGTACTCCAGTGGCACAGCAGCAGCAGGAGGCCCATTAGCTAAAGTGGTGCTTGAGGTTAAGAACAGTTTCAGGTTAAGAACGGACCTCCAGAACGAATTACGTTCTTAACCTGAGGTACCACCGTACTCTATTCCGAACTTAAAAATGGAAAGCATAATGCTGGTGGTCAACAAAAGAGGTTTAAAGACTGCCTCAAGGCAATTGGAAAACATTGGCCTGTGAGCACTCCAGTTGGAGAACAGTCTTTACCAAAGATGTCATGGGCTTTGAAGACACTCAAACTCAGGACACAAG